GCTGTGAATAGTCTTGTTTATTTGACTTCATGTATTTAAGTGCTTCCCTGTTAGTCTTTCCCCAGTCCTGTCATTAATGTCATAATGTCTTTTTTGCATGTTCCAGGTTACTGCTGGTCGGTACTATACGTACTGTCCAAGACATGGCGGCCCACAGGCACTTCTCATCTATGCAACAAATAAGGAGGTTCAGAGACCTGAGAGGATCTCCACGTCTGAGCCCTGTTTGAGAGAAGGGCTTTCTAATTCAGAACAATCTAACTGGGGCCTCACCGTTTCTCAGCTGCTGTCAACCCTGCCCCCTCCCCCCCCCCACCCTCCCTCCTATCCACCCCCATGCCCTCCACTGATTCCTGCGCCTCTAGTTCATCTACTTGGCTTCCTGTAGCAGATGCGTTTCCCTTCTAAGCCATGTGATAGGCGATGGAGGAGAGGGGGCTTCTGTCCTCTCTTTCGTGAGGCTTACAAGGTGCCATGTTATCAGCTGTCTGTCCTCCAGGTTGGAGGGGGAGGAAAATGTAGGTGGGAGTGGCAAATCACTTCCTGGTCGGTGACAGTCAGGGCTTCACCATGTGTCAGCAAATATATGACCCCCACATGCCAGCCGGGAAGACAAAATGTGAGCCGTCCCCATCCAGGCAGTCTGGTGCCGTCTGGGCCGTGACAAACGTTTCGATGCACATGCAGCCGCACTCCCTGCTCCACAGCAGGAGAGCGCCGCCCTCTTAGGCTCCAGGTCCAGCAAGTCTCCATCATTAGGGAGATACTGTAACACACGCTGCATTCAGCTGTTTAATATCTTCTCTCTCGGTTACCTTCCCCATGCCTCCTCCACCAAACACGTCTGAAGAACAGTCATCCATTTAAAAAATGAACTTCTAATGATACAAGGATTTTTCCAGAAAAAGAAGTCCAATTGATAAACAGAAATGAATAAACCGCTGGTGGAAGAATACGATGAATTATTTCCTATGTTTACAGGAGGTGTTTTGTCACTTCTCAGGAACCGACAGCTTATTAACAATACCCAACGATTTCTGCATGGCCTGCTTCCTGAGTGTCGCTAGAACACCCTTTCTCACTGGCACACAGCTGTTAGGCCAGTTGAATTGATGGACAGCTCTCCAAAGTTCGCACTTGGCGACCCGGCTGCACCTGGAACATGCTGCTAGCTGCCGTTCCAGCTTGCAGTCGCTCTGCCTGTCGCCAACAGGCACGTTTGCTCTCAGACATACAGCGCATTCGTTCCTACATGAAAAACAAGAAGTAGGAAGTCTTCACTAAAAGGCAGCGAGACAGATGGCCCTTTTACACACCCGTTTTCTCCTGGATAATGATATCCACTCCTGTAACAATGAAAATTATACATTATGTCTGCATGTATGAAATGACGTGTAACATAATATCATAAAGAATAAGGAATTATTATTGAAAGCAAGTCTACTGAGATACTCAAATGAGATGCGCAGAGGCACTTATTAAAGCCATGCTGTTCGCTCAATAAACAGATGACCTGAGTGGCAGTTTCTTCTTTTACAAGGCCACACTATGGATTGTCAGAAGACTGTGAAGCTTAGGGTACCCACAGCCGCCTTCCTTTGTCTCAGAAGGTCTTTGTTACCATGACTGTATCATCTCTGCTGCCACGGGGAGCGCCCACAGGTCTGTCAACATCCGCTCCCGGTTAAGGGAACGAGAGCGGCGCCTCCTGCAGTCACCAAACCACACAAGCTAGCAATTCAGGTGTGACAACCCATGTCGTACATGTGTGAGCTGGATTTTTACAGGGTTTCTTAACACAAATTCTCAAACCATAGAATCATTTATACCAAGATGCCAGTTATTTATATATATATATATATATAAGCAATAATAATTGTATAATATTTACCTTGTGCTTGCTGGATGGTTCTTCTGACAGAGGCTGAGAGGACTGCCAAATTTTAGCTTTATTTCCTCAAAAAAAATATCGAGTTGCGAATAATGAGTTTATAGTTCAGCCAACTCTGTTCAGGTTGCAGGGGTTGTTCAGTACTTCTGGTGAGGTTTTACCATGAAATAATGCCCATGGTACCCAGTGGGGAAAAAACACATTTTATTTGTGTAGAAGGGAGTTGTGTCATGTGACGAAACACTGGTGCTAGCTATGATGTGTTTATATATAAGTAAATATATTCACTGCAGGCTCCTGTGTGGAGGTGTCGAAGTGCCTCAACGTGACCATGAACAATATGGGAACAGTGTGACTACACTAAGGATTTCCCAGTCCTTCAGCAAGGTAAAGCTTGGAATACCGTCTGTTTATGTATACAGTATAACTCTTGCTGGTCAGCATTCATTTGTGTTTGCCATCTACTGCAGCATAAAAATCGCCAATATCTTTCAATCCTCCTAAATCTATCCCAGCGAATGATAACAAAAATAATGTATAACTGAAAAAACAATCACATTTCTGGGAAGACTTTATTTCACAATTCCTCTCTTTTATATGAACAAATTCAAGATATGTACAGTCATTACACAGCCATCTGGCAATTTTGTCCTCTTTACAGTTTTCCTCATATCAAATTGTAATAGCTAAATACAAAGACATAAATATTTATACTCACTTTCCATACTGGTATGTTCCATACCAACAGGGCCATATTAAATAATATTATCAATGACTTAAAATAATTTACATGATTTGTATTTGTACTACGATGGAGCATAAAGACAGCTGCGTAAATCACACTGATCTAACAGAGTATGAAGGACATCCATTGTTTACATTAACTCTGTCACCTTGGTCAGGCCGAGCATACAGCAGCATATTGGTGCTTCCCAGTGATAATGATAATCACAGGGCCCCTCAAAGATTACTGTGTCTGATGTAAATAATTCAGACATCGCAAACCATGAACTGAATTGTGATGAGCATATCCTGATCTGACATGAGCCTGAGTAGTGACACGTAACATCCATACTGTACGTCAAAGGTGATGCACACAATTCAATGTACAATAATGCAGAGAAAGATGGTGGAAATGTAATTGGACCAACATTTTGTCACTCTAGATGAGCTTCTTGTCAGGACTTTCCAGGAAATCTAAATTCTTTTTATATTGTACAATCCCAATGTCATCATTCCAAAAAGCACTCAAACAAGAAACAAACAACGGTGTCACTGTTTACAGTGACTGTAAACTGCCTTAATCTTTTTACTGATTCATATGACTCTAGCAATCTTTTTGAGGTGGAATGAATAAGATCCAGTATCATACTTCTGTTACATCATAAATTTTAATAAATTATTGATTGATATAATTTACTTTATAAATTTATAAACTGTTATTATGTGATGTATTGTATTATAATGCAAACGTATAATGCTTCCGTATTATATCTTCAGTAAGTTTCTCTTCGTATGAGCCTTGGATATGGGCAGCTTAGCCAATAACAAAACCAGAGAACCAGAGTAAGGGCACCACTTTACAAAAGGCTCCGTTTTGCCACTTGTAAATGGTAGTAACTCATTAATAAAAAGAAACCTGGTGTTTTAACTTGTTTAATATTGTCAATTAATAATTTACAAAGTGTTACAACCTAATTAACAACCAGATTATAAACCATTCATAAACCCTTTATATGGGTAGCTTTATTGTAAAGTGGCACCAGAGTAAGTCAAAATCTTTTACTGGGCCTTCACAGGCACTGTGGGTTGTTTTCTATACCCAAGTCATGATAAGTAATTTACATGTACAGTGGTACCTTAGTTCTCGAACTCATTAGAACTCGAATTTCTTAAAAGTCGAACCAACCAGTTTGAAAAAAAATTGCCTAGAGCTCGATCTGAATGTCAGAAGTCAAACCGTGAACGCCGACCTAAGATAACTTGTTTGCGCGGGGAAATGAGTCACGCGGTTCGTCTCTCAGGGGAGACAAAGGGTAAAGCTTCAGTCTCAGCCTCGCATTCGCTGTGATAGCATCGTGCATGTTTACACTAACTGAATACATATATTTGGACAGTAAAAATACATTTAGACAATGGTAGACAGTAACAGTAATTAATATTATACTGTATATCGATCCATCCATTGTCCAACCCGCTTATCCTACTGGGTCGTGGGGGGTCCGGAGCCTATCCCGGAAGCAACGGGCACGAGGCAGGGAGCAAACCTGGACTGGGGGCCAGCCCATTGCAGGGCACACTCACACATGCACACCTAAGGGCAATTTAGCAATGCCAATAAGCCTCAGCATGTCTTTGGACTGTGGGGGGAAACTGGAGTACCTGGAGGGAACCCCATGATGACACGGGGAGAACATGCAAACTCCACGCACATGTGACCCAGGTGGAGACTTGAACCCAGGTCCCAGAGATGTGAGGCAACAGTGCTAACCACTGCACCACCATGCCGCCCCAATATTATATAATAAAATACATTTAAAAATAAAGATTTCTTATTCATTATTTTAATAGTAATAATAAACCATTAATACGTTTAATTATAATAATATTGTTGTGCCAAGCGGGGACGGAACGGAGACAAAGACGCAGATGTCAGTGTATCGGGGAATACGGGGTTTAATTACAGGTAAGGCAGGCAAAACGCAGACGGACAATACAATGACCGGACTGGGGAAACAAACTGAAACGCGGACGAAATACAGAGGACTAATGACAACAACCAGAAACAGCTGATCGCACAGGGATTCCGCACGGGGATTCCACACGGGGTTAACGAGGGGGCATGGCACACGGAAGAAGCGGACGATTGGGGCAGAACACATTAGTTGGATACATTTATTTTCTTACTTTACAAATTACTGTTTTGATAAATGTGCTTAGATGTGTTTAGTACAGTATATGCTCTTCTTGTTTTATCCGGTTCATTTTGTGTTTAAATGCTAAAAAAACATATTTAGGTGTAATTTTGGGGGGTTCCCACCAATTAATTGGTTTTCCATTATTTCTTATGGGGAAAATTCGATCACAACTCGAACTTTGTAGGATTCGATCCGGAGTTCTGAACGGATTAAATTCGAGTTCTGAGGTACCACTGTATATGTAATATATGCCTAAATGTATTGGTGTTATTTGCGAGACAATTTCATATTCTGAATACTGTATCCAGGCAACGCCAGCCATGCCGAAATGATTTAGATCAACGGGGCTCAACAGGTCACAATGAAAAGCACCTTTTATTAGACTTTGTTTTGAACTGACCCAGTTTTACAGAGCATATCCACAGAATTGTGCGAAAAGATTATTGTCGGCCTGCTTCCCTTCAAAAATAAATCATGAGCCATTTAAACAAACCATGATGTTTTTGACACCCTGTGTATTAATGGGAATATAAATAAATAAATGGGGTTCAGTTTAATGTCTTTGAATCACACTCTCATTGGTATGTCATTTACACCACCTCGAGGCATAGGTATGGAGCTGACTCCTGCCTGGTACAAGAAAGAGGACTGGATACTGGACAAGTTTATCGATTAAGATAAGAGAGTAGAGGGAACCCTTTCAGTGCCATCTAATTTGCTATTAATATAGATGTCACATTAGGCTACTTAACACAGAATGTATACTGTATACTAATGAAGTCATCATGCACTAATACTTTTTTAGAACCTAGATGTATAGTGGATATTTATTTCATCAGAAACTATAAGATGAGTAGCTGGAGAAAAAAACCCATTAAAATGTACTAGATATTTAATATAAATTCTGCAATTAGTAACCGTTACTAAAACATCAAAGTTTGCGTTGATTGAATGATGAGAAGCCCTCAAAACTTTGCAGTATAGTCCCTAACTGTAGTTGTTGATGCAGTTTAACAACGATCACTCCTCAGTAGGCAGACAAAGGGGCTACAGGAGGACGGTTTTCCCGGGAGTCTTCTGCATGCAAGACGACACAATGTGCCACAAGAGCTCACTTACAATCCACCTCAAGAATAGCTCTAACAGAGCGGGTGAGTTCCTTGGCTTCCTCAGCCAGAGCCGCAGCATTCCAGGGAGTCTTCTTTGTGGGACAGGAGGCTGGTGCCTGGGACTGGCCAAGCTTGGCATCGTTTGCAGAGCTGTAACATAAGAACATTGTTTGAAAGGAGCGATCCTGAAGCTGGAACTGTGCAGTAAGTGAATCAACTGAGGGAAATTATCAAATAAATAAGGTACCTGAGTCCAGCTTAGACATTTAATCAATCAGAAAATCCCATCATTATTACATTTTCACTAAAGTCTTCCAAAGTTGGCAGCAGGCTGCAAACTAAAAAGCCAAAAGGCTGTAGAATGATACCCCTGAGTGCTTAGCTGTAACTGCTCTTGTAAAATAAAAAACTGAATACATATAAAGCAACTGATTATATATGGTACACACACACACACAGACACACACACACACACACAAATCCTTTATTTGCCATTTGTCAAAGTATGAGTACAAGTACATTGGAATTCTTGTATCATTGGAGTTCTTGTATTTAGTTACTTATAGTTAAGGTCAGGGCTGGGTAGGGATTAAGGTCATCATGTTGGGATTAATGTTTTCCCCACAGATATCAATGGAGAGTCCCCCACAAAGATATAATTACAAACCTGTGTGTGTATGTATGTAAATTTAAAAATGCAAATGTGCATTCTTATACTGTCGAATTCTGTTTGGCTTTTTTACACGCAGGAGGGGGCCTCACACCTCCAGGGCTGGGTACTGGAATCCTACCTCTTCTCCGTGTGAGTTTTCATGTTCTCCGTGTGTCATGTGAGTTTCCTCCCACAATTCGACCACATGCAGTTGAGCTCATTCACATCTTTAAATTATGTCATATGTGTGTGGTGAGTGTGTGTTGCCCCACAAATCTGACCAGGATGACCTTTTGGAAGATGGATAGATACACATTCTGTGGCCACATTATTAGGTACACTTAGCTAGTGCCAGGTAGGACCCACTTTTGCCACTGAACCCGTTTGTGGCTAAACCAGTGGTGTGTTCTGAGAAGCCATTCTACACATCAGTTCTTTTCGTTTATTGAATGTTTTTTGCTTCGCAGGAACTGCAATGAATAAAAATAGCAGCAAGATGGTAGTTTCTGGGATACTTTACAGACTATGTCTGGCACCAACAAACACACAACATTCAAAATTGGTTGTGTCGTGCATCCTACCCATTCTAACCTTAGCCAAGAGGTAACTGAACCCCTTGAAGCTAACTGTGTGCTGTATCTATTCAGTTGCTTCCATATGTTCGCAGTTTGGAGGACCGAGATGTTTGTGTTAACAAGCATGTGTTCCAAAAAAGTTAGCTGCTGAATGAAAAATAATATATACTGGAAATTGAAATTGTATATGTGTCTGTACATACTGTGTGTGTATTTCTGTATATAAGTATTTTTAAATGGTTATTTGGTTACAAAAAAAAAAAAAACACCAAGATAATACAACAATTTATAGCACAACAGCCTAAAGTTTATCACTCAATATTTAATTCACATCCCCTTCTGATGATTAATTACAGTAGCGATATGTTTTTGTTTGTTTGATTCGGTTTGAAATTAATACTGTACACTGTCACTTATCATTTTGATCGCAAACTATTCTTGGTTTCTACACAGAAAAATCTGTATTTACATGTGCGTGGGCTCTCTACAGTAATTTCTATCGCGTTCTTAAGGTACTGTAATATCAGGAGGCAAAATAAAATTCTTCATAAATGGCCTCTCCAAAGTATTTTTTTTTCAGAATCTATTGAAAAATAATGCTCCTTTTTCTGAATAATTATTTCACAACATTTTACTTATTGTGTGTGTGGCTCTGCAGTGTGCATAATTGGAAGGTTGCTGGTTCAAATACTGTGGTCGCCAGTGTGACTTCACCGTTGGGCCCTTGAGCAAAAGGTCCTCAACTCCACTTGTACTGGGAACCAGCTGGCCCTGCTTTCCCAATTGCACATTGTTTTGGATAAAAGTGTCTGATAAATAAGTAAATGTATTCCAAGCTGAGCTTTTTAAACAGTAACATGTCACATTTTGTGTGACAACAGAGATGCTCTTTCATTATCAACTCACCAGCTGCATGTCATGCTACAACTATAGCTACTATAAATCATAGTGTGTCGAAACTGATCCGATTCCACATTTCACAAATAATAATAATGTGTCGGAGTTCAATACAGTACACAGCCTGCAGCCTCCAACTAGCCAGGCTTTAATGGGTTAAATAGTTTATAGTCTTATATTTCCCAGAGATGGTAGGGGTCTTCATTAGAGAAGCCGGATCCTGGTTGCACACAGAGGTGTCACGGTCATCAAGGCAATAAGTACACAGAGGCTGAAGATACTGATTAGGCCTTGTTAAAATCACTGCCAAGTCCAGGTGAGAATGTGACACCTTTTTTGTACAAGCAATGCTTTATTATTCTCCCGATTTTCAAGAGTAAAGTACAACTCCCTCTGTCTACTGACAGCAACTCAAGAGTTTTCTGCCCTATTTTCACCCTCCAAATGTAAAAATCACCTTCCACCAATTAAATATAAAGGTGAATTAAAACTTTGGATGATAATAGTACAATGTACCTGCTATAAAGCCTTAATGACACAGTGACCTCAAAGGTTCTATCAGTATCTCCAGCGTCGGTCATGTTCTCTAGGCAAGAAGTGTAAAGCAAATATATACACTGCCATGTCCGTGGGACTACTGGGGATCAGGTAGGATCTGAGCAATCTGACGTAGGTCAGATTGATGGCCGTAGCCAGGACTTTTAAAATACCAAGGTTGAAAGTGTTAACCCTTCCTAGGCATGTCCCATAAATTATCGTGGTTATTGGACGTGCAGAAAAAATACTGAGGATTTGACCTCGGTGTCCTCAGTGGTAGGTATGGGCATGTCCCCATTATAACTCTGTGACAACGATCATGCCTCACGTCCAGGTCCCCGCACCAGATTGCAATCACCGGAATACTAAAAGCTGTGCTCCAGTATTGCTGAAGCTATTTAACCAATGAAACTGGTTTTACACTTTGCAGGGAATTGTGACTCTTTCAGGTTACCGAGTGTACTACTGTCCCGCTTTCTTCTGCCTGCTTGAGTTCCCTCCTGTGTGCCTTGGCATGACTGGTGTGCCCTGATCCCTCTCTCTGTGTGGGTGGTTGTAACAATCTCCCTGCGTCTGTGTGACTGATTGCCTTTCCCTTCACTCCCCGGCACAGACCTCCCACCTTACTGACCCTACCACCCATTTCCAACTCTGATTCTAATTTAATGTTGCGGCTTCATGTTTGCTCTACATTGCGGTTATCTGGTCCCAGTGACAAACTTCATAGAAATTAAACAGAAGTAAAAATCGTCCATAATGGTACAGATATGCCCCAGATGAAGCAAATCATTTGCAAATTTCCTATAATCAACAACGGGAATGAGCACTGATCACTGCACTTTGAAATGGAAATGCACTTTGAAATGGAAACACAGCGAACTTTGAAACACATGTTTTGCCGTCTTTGTGTGAACTATAATTAAAGATAAAAGAGAAAATAGATATAATTATTTTACCGTTTTATTCTCACAGTCCAAAAATTCACCCAAGTGTGGCACCATTTTACATCGTAAATGATCTGATCAAATAAGGGGCCCCGGCAGTCACTATTGTTATTGAAGTGTTGTTCATAGAAACAAGTTACAGTGTATTTTCTTTCAAATAAATCATCCTCTGAATTTGATGTATGTTTAAAAAAGCAATATACAAAATATGAACGTATATAAACTGAATTATCTCAGCAAATAATTCTCAACAGTCATAGGCCAGACTTAAGTAATGAAATCTATCTCTTACCGGTAGTTTTTTTGAGAAACTTGACTGTCTGAGAGAAAGTCTTGGATGATCTGTAAAAACATGTCATACGCACTATTGACTAAAGAGAGCATGCCAGATTAAAATCCCAGATGAAGTCCCACTATTATAACCCTGAGAATGGTCTCTGTTAATGTCTTGCTTTTTGTGAAAATATTCACCATCATCATCATCATCATCATTATTATTTTTATTGTTGTCGTTGATGTTGTTATTATACAGTCTTTGAACCTATCACATACCTCCACAAAATGCAGAAGCTTCCATGTGGAGACCTCAAAACCCTTCTTGGGGTTCTCGGATTTGTGCAGCTGACACTCTAGTGCTGCAATTCCCTTCTTAAAATCCTGAGTTTCAACCTGTTTAAATAGAAATCAAAGTATAAACACCACACCAGACATTCTAGTGAGAAAAGGTTAGCATCAAGCATAGGAATTAATATGAATATGAAATCTTATAACTAACTATAATTCACAAACTGGCCTTCTGAAGTACGGAAAATACTTGTAACTGTGAAAAAAAGTAACAATCACAGACTTAAACAGCAACATGCTTTTTTAAAATGAAATATCCCTTTACACACTTTTCTCTTTCTAAAGCAGTTTTCCCAGTTTTGGAGGGGTAGTATAAGTCTTAATGTTAACAAAATCTGTCTGCAAGTAGGGATCAAGCAATATTCATGTAAGAGCACCTATTTGGCTGTGGAGAGATTATCTATTAAGTTTCAATTTTCATATAATATCAACGTGCAAAAAATGCACGAATTTCCAACTTAATGACCTTCCCTGGCAGAAAATGCAGTGTCCATAAAAGTCATAAAATCAGTTGTGTCCCTGTATCTCTAAAATATTTCAGCTACCCATTCAAAACCATATCAAATATGTCTTCATACTAATCCATGTCATGTAAGACTAATGTGTGTCCTTTCATCAGACCATTTTCCAATTGCTTGTTTGGCACAGGGTCAAAGTCTTGAAAAGCTTGAAACCTTGCCCAGAAAGCACATGACATTCCGGGCCCCTCTGCAGTCCATGACCTTAGTGTGGTGAAGGGGTTTGTATATGTCTTAATGATCCACAGAGATACAGGGCCTTCCTATGGTCTGTAGGAAGAGACCCAAAAAGTCTACGATCCTTCAACCCAAGACCCCCAAAGAAATGGACAAAAAAAAAAGGAGCATGTATTCCCTGCCTGTAAAGAGATTATCAGTATCCACCCCTGGATCCAGGCCTGGGGGAGATGTTTACCACCCACGTAACCCAGTCATGCTCAACCAAAAATGACTCTGTGGAGGCATCTTGTGGGCTCACCACCAACAAAATGAAATGTGGAAGTTAGATACAGTGCCAGTTGGGCATGGGGAATGAGCAGGAAGAACCCAGATTAGATCTTGATGAAGGAAACTGGCTTTGGTAATGTAGACCATTACCTCTTTGGTAGGGAAGGAGCTATTGCAAGAGAGGTATCAGTTAGATATATTCGGCCTTACCTCCACTTCAGCTCTACTTAATTGAGGGAGGAGTCTCTCCTACTCCAGAGTCCCCCAGAGTAACAGTCCACAATCAGATGTAGGGATGCTTATAATTTCAACAGTTTTTTTTTTCTTAATGAATAAAAGACTTGTGGTAACACGTCACTTAAGGCCATGGTTTCAGTAATTTGTAAACACATTCATGACAAATAATAATGCATTCATAAAGCATTTCAAAAATGGCTATAAATATTTATCAAAAGGCATAACACATTATATCCATGTGTATTATGCATTATGAATGCTTTATGAAGCTCTCATCTTTAATGCACTATACAGTAGATACCTTTACAATGCATTCTGATGGTTTCTAATGGTTGGTATACAGTAAGCATTAAGGATGCTTTGTACTGCATTATAAAGGTGTCTGTAGTGCATTATAGATGAGAGCTTCATAAAGAAGTCATAATGCATAATAAACATGGCCGTAATGTGTTATGCCTTTTTATATATACTGTAGTTATAGTCATGTTTATAATGGTTGATGAGTGTGTTACAATGCATTATGAATGTGTCTATTAATTACCAAAACATGGCATTAAGTAAAGTGTTACCAGACTTGCTTATATATAGGTATATGTTGCAGATTTTTTTGGCAATGTGGTGGGAAAGAAAATTGAGTTTGTGCAGGAAAGGTGTGGGGGCTTCGGAATGAAACCTCTCGATCGTGGGTGGAGTCTCTCCATGGTGAAAGACATCAGGTGGGTGTCGGGATACTCACAAATCCCAGGCTGAGGGCTGTGTAGCTAGAGCGTTTGCCAGTGGACAAGAGGGTTACCTCTAGGCAACTGGAAGTTGCAGACAGCAGACTTTGACTGTTGCTTGTGCATATGCACCAAACAATGGCTTGGAGAACCCTGTCTTCTTAGTGAAAGTGGGTGAGGTGTTTAAAAGGGTACTGCCTACAGACTCTGTGGCCCGACTGTAAGACTTCAATGCTCATGTGGGGAATTATGGAAGTATCTTGAGGATCATAACCGAGATGAAAGCACCCCCCCCCCCCCAAAAAAAAAAAAGAAAGAAAATGTCCCCTGTGCTTAGAAAGGTCGTAGACATTGAATATGAATGGACTATGTTCAAGGCCTGAATTATTGTAGTGGTTACAAAGAGCTGAGGCCCGAAGGCAGTCAGTGCTTATTATGATATTAACCCTATAGGACTTACTGGTGGACAATGGTAGTGAGGGAAGCTGCTAAGCTGAAGAAGGAGGCCTTTGAGGAAATGCTTGCACAGGGGTTTCTTGTGATAGCTGGAAGGTAGCAAAGGCAGTCACTGAGGTGAAAGCGTGAGCTAGGAGGGCCCCTGGAGGAAGAATACCAGCTAGTCCCAGATGTGTTTTGTCAAAAAATTTTGAGGCCACAGGAGGGGGAGGTACGACCTTATTCAGGATGTGTTTACTGGCAATGGAGAAGTCCTGACCAGTACTTCCTCTCTACTGGCTGGGAGAGTGTATTCCAGGGTACTGAAGAAGAGACTCCACCTGATGGTCTAACATAGGATTCATGAGGAACAATGTGGAACGCAGGAACATTCGATCAATTCTTGTCCCTATTCTTTTTTGTGATCCTCAAGAACATGACATCAAGACACAGCTATGGCTGGAAGAGTAGAATATGAAGATAGAGTCATCCTTGCTATTTGCAGGTGATGTCATACTTCTTGTGTCATTTGACTAAGACCAGCGACACAGACAGCTGAGGGCAAAGTAGCAGGGATTATAAGCAGCAGCTCAAAATTTGAAGCTATAGAGCTATTCAAATGGGGAGGAGTGCCTGCTTTTAGTAAAGGAGCCTAGCATCTGAATTCGATGCGCAACCCCATCCTCGCTTACAATCCCGAGATTTAGGAACAACGTCATGAGTGTAAAAGGCCAAATTAAGGTTTCTCCGCTGGGTTGCTTGACTCACTGTGTGTGGCTTAGAGATCTGGAGGAACCTCGGAACAGAGCTATTGCCCTTTTGGATCAAGGGAAGTCAGCTGAGATGGTTCAGGCACCTCCCAAGGGGTACATTCAACTGGGTGGAAGACCAACGGCTTATCCTGTTCAGAGTCACAGTAAGCCTGAAGTCTATTCCAGGCAGCACAAGGCACAAGGCTGCAGAGCAGCCAGGATGGGATGCTTGTGAGGTGCTGATGTTCCAAGGATAATTAGGGGATTCATTTAGCAAATCTGGTATATCTGATTTATCTTTTTTTTCAGCAAAAATGAGTAAATGTAAAAATTACACTTATGAGAAATGCTTAAATGCATATGTAAACTGAAGTGTGCAGATGCAAATGTGCATTTTTCTTTTATTCATTCTCAATAAGCAGCCATTTGTATTTTAATAAAATTCAGAAAGTTGTAAGTTGTTTGTAGCCCTGGAAAATCAAGCAATGCTTAGCAATACTTTGGGAAATTTTTCATGAAATATTTAAAAACAGAACAAAAAAAGATCTAACATGTAAGGAAAAGGTCATGATCAAAAGAAGCCATTCTCGCTTAATTAAAAGTATGAAATGCAGAAAGGCAGTACAATGTGGATAAACCCCAAAATACCAGGAAAACCAGAAATTGCTTTTCTTTCTTACTGTGAATTTGATACCTAACTTTTGTATTGGATCCAGAGATAAATGTTTACCTGTGAAGACATTTATGCTCCAATGACCTATAAGGGTATTAGCCAGATTTTTTTGAATTCTAAAAATAACTGCCTACATAGAAATCGCGACGATCACATCAAACCCGCCCTGCACATCTTCCCAGTTACTGAATAATACAAAGCAAACAGTGACCTACTTTACAGGGAACAGGAGAGAAGGAAAACCAGGACTGGATGCTGCCAAGGAGTATGGGAAAGAGAGAGAGAGATGGAGAGAAGTAAAAGCCACCTTCACATGGGCAGGCTGGTCAGTGATCTGGGCCTTCATCTCAGCTATCTCTGCCTCCAGCAGCTGGATCACCTCCTCATAGTCTATTTCCATGCCCCGGGCCTGCTTCTGGGCTGCCTCGGCCAGGTGGATCCGGGTCCGCAGGGCCCTGGTCTCGTCACCGGCGGCTTTTGCTTCCTGTAGAGTAATAAAATCACACAAGCTGAAGAACACCCCCGTGAGCTCCCACACGAGAGACCTGCGCTCTTCAGCAGGCAGAGGCCACTGTAAAGCACCTCAAGCCTACCAATAAACCTTTTACTGTACATCCTTGTCAAGGTAAAAAATAAATTCCAACTTTTTTCACATTCTGTTTTTTTTATGTACTGTAGGCTTGTTTTACTTATTCTATCTGTAGGGTAATATTGTCCTGCTTTTGCAGTACTGTATTAATTCATGCATTATTTAGTGGGTTTGTGGCATGTAACAAACAGGACAGTCTCTGAGTCTGACTCTTGTATAAAAAAGGATAGATTTAAAATTATCCTAAAAAAAAGCTCATATAATGACAAAATCACCATCCAACATAAAACCCATGTTTTTCAATCATGCTTTGCAACCGAAAGCAGTAACTGAAGTCTGTGTTTATGAATAACAAAGACAGACGGCTCGAGAGATTAAAACAATGAAATCTGTATGCTGGGTGACGGTCTCATTTGTCAGCGGTGAGTTATGGTGCTGGAATGTTTACAGGAAGGTGCTTAAATTAAATGCATAGTATAGGAATATGATTTTCTCTTGTTTCTGGTAATGTTTAAAAAGAAATCGATACTGCTTCTCTTAACTTACTGCCACACACTGATTATCATAAATATAAATTGTGCTGATTTATTTTTGCACCCAGGCAGTGGGTGAAAAAGCAGTTAGACTTAGGTGGGAAGCGGTATGTACCCTAGCGGAATAAGTATATAGGATTTGCATTTTTCTTTTTTCTCTTGGCTTCACAGACTTTTACAAGAAGACATGCAAAAGACAGAGGGTACAGGAAATGTTAATATATCAATATTCAAGATACATTAAAGTACCATGTGTAATGTAGCCATTCTCTGTTTAGCCATCCAACTATATATGTTAAGCACTGTGGATATATTTTCTTCCTAACTTCTCAGCATTCACAAAGCTATCACGTCCAACTTAATGTAGCCAGCTTTTTACTAATACTCTCAGGGAATAAATCTCTGTATTGCGATGAGTATAAGCAGAATCTATATTGGTGTTTTCCTCAATATTGTCCAAGCTAACCCGATTTTTAGTTAGAATATTAAATGGAGCCAAAACAACAAAATGGGCCTAAATGGCCTTATCACTCTTGGCTGGTGCTTCAGGAATGCTTTTGTAAAATATTTCATACAATTATCGCAAATGTGTTTGTAAATGGATGTTCATGTATATTTAAATGTAAATGGAACTCCACATACAACACACTAAAGATTTTCAATAAAATATGTATTTAACCTATGTTGAACATATTCAGTATGCATTGACAAATCAGTATTAGTTAACTGCTATTTACATGTTACATCAGTTTTATATATAACAGTAATTAATCTAGAACACAATAAGATTTAAAGCAAAAATGCAACGAAAACACAAATAGGGGAGATATGTGGTTATATTCAAACAATGATTTTGGCAACTGACCACATCCCATTATGATTACATAAGAGTATATAATTTTTTCCAGTTTATTAAGAGACAGCAAACAGTACATTGCAGTGCATTTCTCAGGGTAAGCTGCAAACAATGGTCTCCCACAATTAAGGCACCACCAGCATCTGCCATCCAGGGACTGGGTGATGCAATTAGGCTTTCTGCCTAGACGGGAGATGAGAGTTAGAGTCTCAGCGTGAGAAGCCTCCAGCAAAATTGCTTCATTGATGTTGAAACTGGAATAAGAATGTACTTTCACTATTAATGGGTGATGAATATTCTGCCCTTTCTGACACTTAACACACAATTTCTATACCAAGTGCTGACAGCATGTTTCAAAAGGCAAGGAGATCACAATTAAATGTTTGATTGGGGGCTACAGCAGTTTACATGAAAGACCTAGCTGACAAAGAATAAAGGCCTAATTGATCATAGGTTAATATACTTAGTAGCCATGGTTACACATTGTATTAATTTATACCACGCTGTGGTAAATATTATTTTCTGATTGGTCCAGAGATGTCAGGTGGATGTTGATTATTTATGTATAACCACACAGGTAGTTCCTGCAGACTAAAACAGCTCTATATTAATGTATTTTAATATTTTATCAAACAAGTCAATATAGAAACCTGTGTGACTTTTACTTATAAATAAGCAGTCATTCTTAGCATCATTTTCCTTTGTTTTCAAAATGCAAGCGCCTGTCTGTTGACAGTTTCCATGGTAACTTCACGAACTTGCCGCTTCCAGCAAATAGCCTGACCATAAGTTCTATCTTTATAGGGACTATATTTTTAAGGGCATATCGGAACATTATTAAATGCTAATTTGGGGCCAAGCACTGTAGGTGTGAGGCACCTATTGTACTCCTAAGAATTAGAATTTGCCACTATTTGTCATGCCCGATCGTCCGATCCTCCTGTGTACCACGCCCCCTCGTTAACCTCGTGTGAGATCCCGATTGTTACCAGCTGTTTCGTGTTATTTCCATTAAGTCCTTTGTATTTAAGTCCGTGTTCAAGTATGTTTCCCCAGTCCTGTCATTGACGTCTCCACCGTATTGTGCTCCGTTTTGCCTTTTGCCAAATAAACCCCTTGTTCCTGGATCTCCATTTCCACGACCCTGATTCCCTGCGCCCTGCTCATCCCCACAGTCTGACACTATTATTATATTTTCTTACACGGGAGTCTATGGCAGCCCACAGAATCACTTGGTAGATTTTTTTAAATTTGGCACATTGAAAGAGGACAATCCAATGTATTCAGTCACCAAATTTGGGGTCAATACACCCATCCCTATAATGCCAAATTTCATCAGGCCAAATTTCAAGGCACATTTTTGCTTATAACTTTTGAACCGTTTGTTCTAGTTCTGAGATCTTTTTTTCCTTTGAATCAATGAGTCTTTCCGATTTGACTGCATCCATTGGTATTAACATCAGCCATATTGGATCTATTGCTCATTTAAAATTTTCAAAAAACGTACTTTTGCAAACTCATCCTATGGTGTTGATTATATTACCACCAAATTTGGTATGTACCATCAACAGAGAGTTGGGACCAAAAGCTGTTCAAACCATTATGATAAGGCAAATACTGTGGCTGCTGTTGTCCAATAAATTTGAAGACAAAGCAAACAAGCAGGAAATGAGATCATAACCTGAGTGTAAATGTGCTTGCCTTTGCCGTTACCCCATGGTCATTGTTAGTGCTGTGTGTTCATTACACTTGTGGTTTACTTCCATATCCTGTCTTGTTCACTTTCATGCCTTTTCTGCTTCGCTACTAGCTTCTCTCTCAGATGTTACTAATCTATTCTGTCCTTCTGAGATTCTCCCTATCTATACCCAGGCTTTGTCTAATGCTCTTCATGTCCACACTCCGATTAAGCACAGGATTGTCCCCTTCTCCCATTCGTCTTATAGGCTCACTCCAGACCTTTGAGTCATGAAGGTAACTGGCTGCTGCCTAAAATGGCTATATAAAAAGGCAGACCTCGCTGTACATTCCATACCTTACAGCAACCACAAAGTCTCTGCGACCTATCCTCCACCAGAATTTAAAAACATATCTTTTAACTCAATTATTTACTTCCCATACTCGTTCCTGATCTGTTGGTGTCTTTTTCTTGAATGTTTCATTCAGTGTGTTAGCTTAAGGTATAGGATCTATGTGCATATATTCCTATTTTCATGTATTTCCCCTTTCTAAATTCCTTTCCATGTCATTTATACCGTGGTAGTGTGCTGAGCTCCCTTATTGCTGCTTGCAGCTATATATGAAATACTTTTCTTCTGTAAAATGAATCGTTAACCATTCTTCTTTTTTTTTTTTTAGCAGTGGCATAAGGGGAATAAACCGCGATGAGGTGTGCGGTTACTAAAACATAATGAGCAGCCCTCTGCATGGTGTCGGGCCGCATTACACAAAGTAGTCATTGAGTATTTTTATAAAACCGCACACTTCGTTGTGGTTCAACCCATATGTATTTCTTTGTTTTTAGACCTTTTTATAAATTGAAAACAGCTGTGCATCGCCAAGCTAAGTTGCTTGTTAGTAATGCTGATGCTGTGGAGTGAGATGTCTTGTGCCTGTTAGTAATTCTGATGCTGTGGTGTGAGATGTCCTGTGCCTGTTATTAATACTGATGCTGTGGAGTGAGATGTCCTGT